CCGCCTGCACGTCGTTAGCGGCGGTGGCGGGGCCGTTGTAGCTTGAGGCGCCAGCCGCGCCCTCGGCGGCCGCGTTTCCGCGGAGGGAGGCGGCGCCCGACTGCAGGGTCGCGACGGCGGGGCCGCCCTGGCCGGTCGCAGTGGCGCGGCCGCTGGCGAGCGCAGGCCCGTCGACGCTGCGGGCGAGCGAGGAGCCGTCGGCGGCGGCGGCACCGCCCTGGCCGACGCCGGCGGCGTTGGCGTTCACGGACGACACGGCAGGCCCCGTCTGCGTGTCGGCCTTGCCGCTCGCAGACGCCTGGGCGAGGCCATTCATGCTCTGGGCGAGCGCGCTAGTGATGGCCTGGGCGGGACCGAACATGGAGTTGGCAGCAGCCTCAGAGGTGGCGGTGGCCGAGCCGAACATCGCCTGTGCAACAGCGTCGGCCGCGGCGAAGGCGTTGTTGTTGAAGCTCTGGGCCTTCGACTTGGCCACTGCCGGTTAAAAGGGGTTGAAAGCGGTTGCAGGAGAGAGGGGTTCACAGGGGTTGCGGGCTGAGAGGGGAGGCCGAGGGGCAAGATTGAGGACCAAGCCCATCAAGGGGACAAATCATGCACGGCTGCACGCATGCGGACGGGAGCAGCCTGCGGCCAAGGCGCAACTCAGCGGCGTCTGGTGCAAGCGCGGCACACTCACGTCCGTAGGCGGGGCCGCCGAAGCTTTGGGCCAGAGCCTTGGCGACGGACTCAGCATAGTTGGAGCCGGCGACGGCGCTGGCGTCGGCGCGCGACACCGACGGCGCAAAGCCAAACTGCCCCTGGCCGCCGAAGCCGCCGTAGCAGGGCGAGCCGGCGCCCTGAGGGGAGATGTAGGGGGTGAAGACGTTGTAGCCGGCCTTGTAGGGGGCCACGAAGCCGCACTTCAGCTTGCCGAACGCAGGGATGGCAGCCTTGGGGCAGCGCAGGGCGCCCTGCAGGGGGCGCAGGCCCGCCGGAAAGGCGCCCAGTGCGAAGCCAGCGTTGAGGGCGGCCAAGGGGCGGTTGCCTGGCATTTGGGAGGAGGCAGCACGGTAGGTAAGAGGGGGAAAAAGTGGACGGACTGCACTGCAACCAATGCGCTTGCCTTGAGTAGAAGCGGCAGGCCCGTGACAACCAGCAAGCTCGGCCACCAAAGCATGGCTCATCCCAGCATCCGCCCTCGATCAGGCACAAATCTGGACGGGCCCCTCACCGTTATTGAACAGAGTGCATGTGCCGGCCAGCAGCCCCAGGTGGGGGAACGCCACGGCGTTCACAGGGCCGAACCCGACGCCACGCGGGCAGCTGCCGCCGCGGAAGTTGGGGCGGGCGCCCCAGGCGCCGTTCCAGTTGCTGCCGCCCCACTGGTTGCCGCCCCATTGGTTGCCCCACGGGTTGCCGCCCCACTGGTTGTTGCCTCCCCACTGGTCCTTGGAGTCGGCGCCCAGAAGCTCGCGGCCGGCCGTGGCGAAGTCATCCGGCAAGGTGCGCGCAGCCGAGGCTGCAAGGAGGCGGAGAGGGAGAGGAGGGGGCGCGGAGGAGAGGATGAGGGGCTGGGTGAGCAACGAGAGGCGTGCTGCGCTTGGGGGTGCTGCGGGGTAATCGGTGAGCCGCAACGGGCCCGGCAGCGCCTCCCTGGCGGCTGCACCTCTGTCACCTCCGCCGCATGACGGGACGCCGAGCCAAGCCAAGTACATGCGGGGCCACAGTCCCTGCTGCATGCGATTGCAGAACCCCTCGCACCAAAAGCAGCTCCACAGAGGAGCAGCAGGATCACGGCGCCGGACTTGGCCGCCTGCCGGCCAAGCGTGAGTTGGCACACCACGGTGAGTGAGGCAGCTCCCACCGCAGGTCCTGCGTACGAGTTGACTGCCCATGCACACGCTGCGGCAGCAAGCCTGCTATATCAAACCTTCACCAGCACGCGGCACCAACTCCGGGGCTTGGTCCGCGATTGAGGGCCCCGCATGGCGAGCATCCATGGCGCTCACCATTGCAGAGGCTCTCCGGGGCTGGAGGGGTCGAGGAAGGATTGAAGACAATACTGATCTTTGAGGACTGGACCTCTTTGTGGCGATCGTGCACGGCAACAGCGTCAGAAGGCGCGGGCAGAAGGAGGCCGGAGCGGTTTCCGGGTGCTGTGCAAATTGAGCAAAGTAATTGGCCTTTATACTCCGCATCACGTAATCAACACCGCAGCTCCAGACGAGTTGCTGGCTGCCGGGCCTCGTCACCCGCGTCGGATGTCACCAGCAACGTGGCAAGTGGCGACCGACAACATGCGCTGGAGCTGATTGCCCATCCAAGAGTGGTAGGAGCCAGGACAAATCTCTCTTTGTTCAATTGTGATGTGCAGGTTGTGTCTTGCAAAGTTAACCATAGCAAGAGCTAGGCTCCAGCCAGGGGGGGGCATGGTGTTAGCGGTCAAAGCGCGCATTGGGTAGATGGCGGCGATAGTGCTATGACAGCGAAGTCGCACCGGTTGCGCTGACATGATGCTGATGATGCAGTTATGCCGGTAATGGGGTCCAGCATTGACTACGATGCACAGCATACCGGTACCCGGTTGTCCCACTCGCTCGCTGCTAGAAGCCCCGGCACAGGACAAGGACGTCTTTGGACTACTCACACTCAAAGCAAGCGTCGGGCGCGGTGGATGTGTGCGCTCATGTATGAAAGCGGTCAGACATTTCAGGATGTCTGCAAACACATACTTGTGCGCCCGCAGGCGGGTGCAATCAAATAAATCATCATTTCACTGCATGCACGGCGCCGCGAAACTCGCTACACATTATTACATTTTACACAACGACCTGTTGCTGAAGACAAGACAACGTGCCTGCCATGGGTTCTGGGCGGCAAATGGAACAACCTGTTGTCAACTTGACATGCAGTCCCAAATTGCAGCGGACCAACCTGTCGGTGTCCCAAGGACTGCACAGCTCTGCGACGGCAGGACAATGGCGCTCCGCGTACAAAAAAAAGGGTTTGAAAAGGCTGTGCGTCAAGGGCAACACCACATACGTGGCATTTGCGGGGCCCTGGGAGGCGGGCGGCCAGCACCGTTGACGGGTGTGGGCACGGCGCGTCCTGTATGCGACACGTCCCATATCCCTCGCGCATACCGCATACCTGCAGAAGCCGTAGTATCAGACTGTTGATTGTTTGAAGCTCGTGCAGAGCGCGCAGCAGCAAAAATGCAGGTCGCCTCGGTGCAGCAGCGTGTCTCCGCAGCAGCGTTCCGGCCATCCCGCGTGGTGAGAATGAAGGCTTTTGCACCCAAGAGCATTGTGCAATGCGCTTTCCGCGCATCCCGCTTACCGCGGGGCGCCCTCTATCGCAGGCTCCTGTGGTGGCTCGCTTTGGCCGGACTCCCCTCGTCTGCAGGGCAGCGGTGCAGGGTGATGCAGCGGAGGTTGTCAGCGTGAGCGAGGGGACTAAGGAGGCGGTGGCGCACCTGAACTTCCAGCGTGGCTCGGTGCACAAGGTGATTGCGAGGGCAGGGAAAGCAGAGGCGTCTCTTTGAGCTCGATTCGGGCTCTAGCAATGCTCATTGGGCTAAATCGGATTCAACGTGGTCGTACAAGCTCGGTCAGCCGTCTGGACGGTGTAGCTGTGGCGCGCCGCGTGGCGGCGGCGGCGCGGTGGGTGTGCAATGCAGGCGGCGCGCGCACAGAGTGGCCCCATTGGCTGCAAGCACCCTGGCAATTCAGAGTGGTAAAAGTGTATCAATAGCCGCGCAGCGACAGCACGTCCTCATGCGCCAGCACCGCAGCTCCGCCGGCTGGCGTACACTGCTTCGCGCCAGCAGCTCATGGTCCTCTCGATGCGCGTTCGTGCTCCCCTTTGTTTCTGTACGCGCCAGGTCCGCCGCGTCCTTGACGTGCTGCGCGGCCGCTCCTACGAGGAGGCCGTCGCCATCCTCGAGTACATGCCCTACAAGGCGTGCGAGCCCGTGCTGGCCTGCCTGAAGTCGGCCGGCGCCAACGGCAAGAACGGCAAGAACGTCCCGCTCAGCAGGCAGTACGTCAGCGAGGCCATGGCCGACCAGGGGCCCGTGCTCAAGCGCTTCCGGCCGCGCGCGCAGGGCAGGTGAGGGGCGGGCGGCTGGGCGGCTGGGCGGCTGGCAGGCGGGCGGCGGGCGAGGCGCAGGAGAGGCGGCATCGTGGGATGCAGCACACCGCTCGTCACAGCGGTCCGTGGATGGGCACGTTGTCGGTAGGATGGGGCAAACGGCTGTTCCTTGGGCGGGCACCGAGCTCATGCTGCTTTTGGAAACCTGCACATAATATCTATGCCTTGGTTGTTGCCTCGCCGTACCGACTCGCCCGCGGCCTGCTTCTGCACCGCCCTATCCCTCCTCCAACAGGGGTTTCAAGATCCTGAAGCCCACCTTCCACCTGACTATCAAGACCGCCCCCCGCGAGGAGTAGGGGCCCCTCTCGCAACACGGCGTGTTGTGGCGCGCCTGGGGGCGCCGTCACCGACGCGCCGCATGCGTCTCGGGCAGCAGCGGCTGGGCAGGGTCTGGGGCGGCAGCGCTTATGTGGGGACAAATTGTCTCTGGCGCTGCCGCGTTTCTGTAACGTCTGCACTCTCAGCCCAATGGGAGCCTATTGGGGGCCACGGCGCGCTCCAAACAGCAGGCATTACAGGACGCATTGTTGCGTGGGGCGCATTTGCAGCGCCAATTGAATAAAGACAGAGAGATGCAGGGAGCTGACTGCAGACAACGTGGTCTTGCACTAGTGCTGTGATGACCACGCACGAACCCGCCAGCCCAAGGGCCTCGTGCCAAGCACAAACGCAGTCCTTTACCCAAACCCCAGCATTCTGATGTCTGATGATGTTTCACAGTATGTCTGGGTGCTCCTGCCAGAAGCGCTCCCCGATGATGTCACAGTGCAGCACCGCCAGCCCCGGCCGCTCCCGCTCCACGGGGGTGCCGTCATCCCGGTGTTTAACCACAACGCGCTCGCGCCGCCGCACCACCACCGAGCCCTGTGTGGGGGCGCCGGGGCCGACGTACGCGCGTTGGCCAGGGGCGAGTTGGATGGCATGGAGCTCAGGCGCAGAAAGCTATTGCGCAGCTGCCCGCATGCGGCCAGCAGCTGCCTCTCGCCAGCTTGCCCAGCCATCTTGGCCGCTTGTGAGAAGCCATGAGCACTAATTGTCTCCTCCCGCCCCCTTCAGTGGCAAGCCTACGCCTGCTCGCACCATCCCCTTTAAAATACAGACACCCACAGCGCACGCCCGCGCGCACACACACACACACACACACACATGCATGCATACCTTCCTAAACTGCTCTGGCAGCTCGTTGTAGTTGATGCCAAACCTTGAGAACAGCAGCTCGTTCTTGAAGCCCGCGTCGCTGCCCGACAGCGCCGCCTGCGCGTCCGGCGGCTTGAGGCCGCTCTTGACCAGCTCCCAGTACGGCGTGTTGTACTGAGGTTGCAGGGAAGGGGGGGCGTGCGCCGACGCCGCGCCCTCGCATGGGCTCGAAAGCGGTAGCTGCAGCGGCACGGCCTGGGCGCGTCGATTCCCGGGATGCTGACAGGATCGCCCCTGGCAGAGGCTGCCTCAGAGCACAGGCGTGCTCCCAAAGACGCCTCGCCCGCCCCGCGCGTGCAAAAGCGCCCCTGGCGGCGCGCCTGGTTGTTGATGTGGCAGTCCGCCTGCCGCCAGCTGAGGTAGTCCCGCAGGGTGGCGGCGTCCGGGTAACACACCGCGCGGCCGTCAAACACCGGCGTTGTCCTGAGGGGCGTCCCGCCCATGAGGTTGCCCCACCAGCGCACGTAGTTTGCGGCAAAACACGAGGCCACGACGGACACGATCTTGCTGCTGCGGCGGCCTGGCGCGGGAGGGGGCGGCGGGTGCTGAGCGGACGAGAGGAGAAGGTGAGCACCGGTGGCTTGTGCGCCCTCACGCGCCTGCCCCAGTGAAAGCGCGACGCGCAGCGGACGCCTTGCCGTGGCAGCGCGGCGAATGAGCACCGCTCAGCAGGTCTGGCTTCAAGGCCCCCGACGCGACTGCGCAAGCGCGGGTGTCGTCATCCATTACGCGCCTGCGAGACGCTCGCACCATACAAGCCCGAGGAGTGGTGCAGCACAAAGCTGTATTCGTCGCTGGTCCCGTACGCTATGCGCACGTCTGCAAACTCCCGCATGACCTGGGTTGTGCCAGCAGAGAGAGGGCGCGGTGGTTGTGTGTGTGTATGTGTGTGTGTGTGTGTGTGTGTGTGTGTGTGTGTGTGTGTGTGTG